ACACATAATTCCTTTAACTCAAATCTGGTGCGATAATCCCAATGTAAATATACATAAATATTGCACTTTGAAGTATTCTTTTAAGGTATTTTTATTATTTTGAAATATTTTGTTATTAAGGATTATAATTCAGAGAGATCGCAATTATTTCAAGGTTTGTCACATATAGTTTTGTCACACTACTTGGATTCATCATTGACTTCAATTTCAAATACAAAATGAATGCGAACAAACGACAAAGTGATAAAAAATCGATAAAAAATTTTTGAAAAATGAACACAAAAATTAAATGTAATTGAAATTTGGTTTTAATTGATTCCGACAGACCAAACCTGAAAAAATTGACCAAACTTATCAGAATTTATGGAACAAGTTTACTTCACCCACGTAAAAATTATTGTTTAATACAAACAATTTTTCCTCAAAAATTCCAATGAAAATTGCAATTAAAAGCAACAATTTTTAAAATATTATTTTTGTAATTAAACCAGTCAGGGAATTGTTCTACCTATGCGTACATATACAGGTGTGTTTTAATTTTAAAAATTTTCTTAAAGAGTCGCAGGATAAAATTTTTATTGTTTTAATTTTAATTTTTAATTTTTTTTTTAAACAAAGCTGTAAAAAATAAATTTACATTAAAAATTAATTTCCTGTTTTTTGTTTTACTTAATCAACTAATAATGTAAAGCTAATCCAATATAATATCAAAGCTGCACACTTTAAACCAATTATAAACGGGGAATTATTTTAAATATTATGAATCTTAAGTTCAAAGCTTTAAAAGCTTGTTAACATTAAATTTTTTTTTTTAAAGTATTTAAAATTTTATTTTTTGCTTACTGCTTTAACAAAATTAAAGTAATTTTTTTCTCTGTTTTGAAAATTTTAAAGCAAGAACCAAAAAAAAAAAAGAAAATTAATGAAAATACAAACCACACTGGAATTTTTACTGTCCTTGAAACTCTTTAGATATCCCTGCAATGGATTTTATACATATTTTTAATGTAATTTTTTTTTTTTTTGTAATTATATAACTAAGAGAATTCATCTTTTTTTTTCTGCATTCTACATTTTTATCCAACAACACACGGATCAGCAAACAAAAAAAAATTAACAAAAAAAAAGGTGAAAATCTTTATTTTTTTTTTCTTAATTTATAACTATAATTAAATGCTCCAAATATTTTTAATTCCAATAATATTTTTAAAATTACATTTAAAGCAAAAGAATAAAACAAAAAAAAAATATGGTTTCAAAACAGTGATTGCCAAATGTTAATTGTGTCCATTTAATTTCATGTTAGCTGGTAAAAATGACGAAGGGAAAATCGGCTTTAGTTCGAATTTTCCTTGATTGAATAAGTACTATAGGTCGGTGACGAGCCTATTGAATTAGGGTTCATTTATATTGAATATTTAAGGTTATTGATACTTACTATTTTATTTTGCTTGGTATTTTTAATATTGGATATTATTGAAATATGGCAATTAGTTAATATGTATAATGTGTATAAAGCAATATAATATTAAATGTAATTTTTCTAGTGACCTGACTCGGCTTTGAACCCGAAATCGTTCTATTAAAGGAGACCCTTCTGTTCAATAACCACTGAATTGGTCACGTCGACCTGAATTGTTAATTAATTTTAATTAAATTTTCAAATTATTGATTAATTATTATAATATGCTATTCATTTAAAAAATTTTTCAGAAATTTTTTCAGATTCTATTACAAATTTATTTTTATAATTTAATATACATAATTTTATTTTGGAAGATTCATTAGAAAACACCTTATTTGTTTGGGATTTATTTAGGAAAATTTTAACATGATTATGCTAAAATTGCAACAGAATCTCTTTAAAACTTTCAAACTTTTTGAAAAGTACTAAACTAGTACGTGTTTGAGTAGTTTTCCTATAAAATATCAAGAAATACCTATAGTTAATTAGAATTAAACTTAAAGAGAGAAAAGAAGATGTCAATTTTAAAGAGAGGCAGATGCATACATATGATGAGCTATTAATTGACATATTTATAAAATGCAATACATAAGCAAATTTTTCTCCAATAGTAAAAATTTGAGTGTAATTTAATCTAAAATTTTGTTACTCTTATTAAAAGTTTTGTTACTTTTAATTCTCTTTTTTATAAAAATAAAAAAAATAAAATTCAAATTAGCAATTGATAAGGTTTAATTAATTTGTAACGTGATACTGTTAAAATTCACTACATATTTTGCATATTACATAATAAAATTAATTTGTAAATAAATTTAATTAAATTTTTAATAAAATAAAACAGCATTTTTAAAATCAATAATAATTGTGTCAAAAATGAAAAAATTAATGTCGAAAGGAAATAAAAAATTTACAATTTTTTAAATAAATTAAATTAAAATTTCAATTAGTAAAAAATTTAATTAATTAATTAAGTATTTTATCAGATTTTTATTCAGTTGGAAAAGAAATAAAGTCAAATGCGTCTATTCAAAACCAAAAACCAACCAAAAATGTTCAAAAAAAGGAAATTTTCTTTTGGCATAAATGGTACCAATATGCGTTTGAAAGGTTATCGTATATTTCAGTCTATACCAACAAGCGAAACAAATGAATATGATTGTTAAAATTAAAATCAAATAAACATAGATCAAACCAATGGTTTTTAAATTAGCAAATTTCTCTTTGAAAAGTGAGGTCTTTAAATAATTTTCTTTAATATGCCAAAATAAAAATAAAAGTATTGCATACTTTTAGGGAACAAAAAAGAAAATTAGTTTTGGCGACTAAATAACTGAGTTAAAACAGTTATCCTTACATTTTTTCGACAACAAGCCATTTGGCTTTTATAGTATTTCAGAAATATACAGAGCTGAAAATTCAAATTTTACAAATTTGGAGTACTTGGGAAGAAGAGGCGGTAACTTGGGAAGAAGAGAAGGTGAAAAAAAAATGTTTTTCTAACGACAAAAAAAAACTATTTATTTCGTTATAAAGCAATCCGTCAACCTGTTCGCGTCTAGAAGCTGTTAAAGCTTTCAAACTTCTACAATTTAACGTCTCGAAGATAAGTGATGTCAAAAGTTTGAAAACAAAATGGTTTTTAAATAATTTCAACAGTCATTTTCGCGGTAAAGGAAACCAGTCACTACTTTTCTGTTCGAAATTCTTTGTGGTGTCGATACATAAATAATTAAAAAATGAAATTTTCTAAAATTTTGAGAGGCTAAGAGGCTTAGAGGGCAGGTAGGCAAAAATTTTCATAGGTAAATAGATCTACCATACAAAATTTCAGTTTTCTTTTGTAAAGAGTGCTTAAGTTTTATAAACGGACATACGGACTGATGTACAGATGGACAGGGTAACAGAGCCAGATGACGGCAACTAATTAGCATTTTATTTACAGTTTTTTTTTTGCAAGAGCGCTAAAAAGAAAGTGAGATCTCTTTTAACTTTTTGTAAAAAATCTTTCAACTTGATTTCACTTTACGGCCGTATCCGACAAAATGAGCGAAGAATTAAAATTATTTTTAATATTTTACGACATTTTACGTTTCACAAAACTGCATTTTTGTCAGATTTTTAATTCGATAAAATTTTTTAATTCACTAACTGATCGAATACATCTGTAACGAAAAAGAATCCTTTATAATAAACAAAAAAAAAACATATTAAAATAAAAATGCAGCTGTTTTAATTAAAAGGATAATAACACAGACAAATTTATTTTTAATGGATTATAAAGGCGCTTGTTCTTGTTGTTTTTTTAAATAATCAAATTTTTTCATACAAATATTTTAAGAATTTTTATTTATTTTGCTTGTTTTCTTTATCAGACATTTTTTTAATCCCAAATATTTGGGAAAATTTTTTCGAAATTTTAATCACTCTTCATCTCATGAATGCCAATACTTCAATCTGTTTGAACATTTTTTTGTTGTTGTTGTTGTTGTATCGATCATTAATAATATTAAAATTTTCCACTTAGGATTTCTTTTTTCCCATTTTAAAAACTGTAAATTTTATATAGTGGTAATTTTGAAAATTGGAACAAAGCATATGTGAGGCGTGTATATGTGCTCTGAAATATACGATGTTCGGGAGAGTTTATGATTTTTAAAGGATGTACCAGTAACTTTTAATTTTATTTATTTTAACTCTTTTCTTTAAATTGAATTCAATATTATGTTACACAGTTATGAATATAAATTATAGGTATATAAAGGGAAAATCATGTTCATTAAATCTTTTGATTAAAATTTTCTCTTCTTGTGTTTTTGTAATTAAATCAGAATTATTGGTATTAAGTTTTTAAAGTAAAAATATAATAAAATTATTATTATTCCTTTTTTATCGAAAAATTATTACTTCGGGATAATTTTTCTGATATATATGGGATTTATAATTGATGACATATTGTAATTAAAAAACTTTTCCCTTGGTTTCGCTGTTTTGCACTGTTCAACGCGGCGTTGCTCTTTATGCTTCGTTTCCTAAAAGACCCATTATGAAAGAATATGGAAATGCAAGAGTAGTTCATAGTAGTAAGGATGTGAAATGAAAGGTGAAGTCTTCAACAAATTCACCAGTGTAAACAAGCAAAAAGTTACTATTACGAATTCTTGAGAATTCGTAAATTAAGTGTACTTAATTAATGAGAGTTTAAGAAAAGGAATAATTAATTTAAATTCACAATAGTTTTCTAAAATGCTAAAAAAGGTTCAAAATGCAATTGATTGTATAATTTTAAAAAATCTATTATATTGCAAGTTTTTCACGTGCGCTGAAATCAAAATTAATGCAAACTACTTAAAAAAAAATTCATTTCTAAAAATCTAAAAAAAAAAAAAAATCTTAAATATTTTCTAATCTAAATTCTAAAAATCTTACGGCATAAGAAAAGAAGAAAAGAAAAAATTTGTAAGCATCTCTAATTTCTAAAACCAAAAAAAAAAAAGTCTCTCTACATTTTTTTTTTTTACAAGATTAAAACGGAAACCTTTGGTTGTATCCTATTAACTGAACGTCTTTGAACATTTGTTTTAGCAGCTTCTAATTCGGCAACTATCGGATCTGTTGGTGTTTCATTATCTTTTGTTATTATTGATTCAGATGGTTGTTGAATTTGTTCTTCATTATTTATTGATGATTTCGTTTGATGATTATTATTATGGTTTGTCGTTTCAGTAGTTCTTATTTCATTAATTGCATGGCCTGGATGTAATGGTTGATGGTGTACTGGTGGTTGTTCTGATGATGCCATTTTAATAGATGAAGGCACTTCAATTGGTGAATTAACAACTGTTTCAGCTGTTGTATGTGAAAAATCATTATCATGTTTTTCATTTATTTTCGAAGAAATTCCTAAATCAGCACTAACAGCTGATAATATTGATTGTATTATTGATGGTACAGATGTTGTTGTTTTTGTTGTAGTTGTTGTTGTAGTTGCAAGAACTTCAGGATGTTGACCGAAAGCAAGCCTTGCTGCACCATGATATGACTGTAAGGTTTTTGTTTTTTTACATAATATTTATTATATTTATATGTATATGTATATGTATATATATAGTTCTAATTGTTTCATATTAGGGTTTATAAATTTAATTATTATTGCCATTGCAGACAACTAAAATTTAGAGGAGCGAATATTTTATACAGTATGTTTCAAAATCTAAGAAATTTTCGATTATTCAGTTTTTTAACGGTTTTGATATCTGAACTAAAATTGTTTATGAAGTTCGTTGTATGCTTGTTGAATAACCTCCTTGACACTGCCAAAATTATAGCCTGTTTTCGATAAAGTCAGTCAAAAAAAAACTTTTTACATTTTTGTGACCATACCCCGTGAGACGTTTATGATCGAGGTCCATTGTGGTAGAATTTTTTCTTTAGTTATAAAAATCTACATGCCATAGTATACCTGAATGCACCACTATAGTTTGAACATCCTGCACAAATTCGAAAAATGTAATAAAAATATCAAAGTTTTTGGCTTACAAAACAATGACATAGTAAAATCTCTTTATAGCGAATACCATGTACCAATATAAATTCCAATTTTTTTTAAAAATTATATTTATAGCAAATTTGTTAAAAGATTTGTTAAAAGATGTTTAAATTCAGATTTCGGTCAAATCTGAAGTTTGACAATTTAACAGTTTAACAATGCCAAACAATTAAGGATTTTTCGTTATTAAGTTTTATTAATTTTAAGCTTTTTTGTTTCAGATCTATCTGTGATTACTTCGATTTCGGCTGAGTTAGTAATTTTTATATATTAACTGGTTTTGGTTTATTAAAGCAATATTAGTAAAAATAAAATTAATAAATAAGCAGTAAGTTTCTCGAGAATATTAAAACTGCGAATCCGAATTTTCTGTAGGGGCCGGAAAACTCAGAAACTGATCTTTCACTATCTTACTTTTTTGTCAACGTTTGTCAACGAAACTAACTGATGAATTTTTTATAGGAAATCGGATAAAAGGAAAGTGAATCTTTATAAAGAACCCAATTTCCATTTCTAAGTCTTCGAAATTGATGCCCATAAGACAATTTCACAATTTTGTACAACATTCATTTGTTAAACAACATTAACCACATTAGAATTTGTTTTCAAATTTAAATCAAAAATTTCATAAATCTTTATTGAATTTTCAAAATTTTGTTACTCTTAACCATCAAAGTTTTTCTGTTATCATAGACTCTCGCAAAAGCACTTGGTCTCGAAAACATTAAAGTCTTTTTACATTTTTATTTATGAACTCTATTTATAATAATTAGAAAACTTTTTGAAATTTATACTTTAATAATCAAAATATTCTACCTTCGTTCTATATTTAAATATTAAAAAGTTCTAAATTACAATTTCAATTTTATAAATTTACACCGTATTGCGACATTAAATGAATAATTTTTTTTTCTTTTTTCTTAAAGGCCAACAATATTTCTGTTTTTACAATTTTTACGCCATTAAATTTTGATAAAACGTCCTATATATACACATATATGTATGTTACAACATCTATGTGTGTATTCATACATATATGTATATATATATAGGAACTATTAATGTATTTAGAGCCACACCTGCAAGAACGTTTAAAAAAAATGGAAAATTTTTCAGCGAAACATAGAGTAAGATAAATTGGAAGTTCCATTTGTAATGTACTGAAATGAAAATTTAGTAACAAAAGAAAATAATGGTGTGGCATTCGAAAAAAAAATTTTGATTGAATCTGGTTAAGATTTAATTGAATCTTATTCTGTAGTCAAATTGTTTGATTAGTTCATTTGCACTACTAAATATTAATGTTAACACACAAAACTAATTGAATTAAAGGAAAATTATTAAAGAAAAATTATGATATTTTTGCAGATTGTAGATTGCAGAATGAAGCGATGATACATCGCGACCAAAATAATCTAATGTGGGGCCACACCAGGAGCGCTCAGTGTACTGCTTAGGGCATCTCCACGAGACCCACACTTATATGATGGGTCCGAGTAACTTTTTCGGGCAGATATTTCACAATGGCATGAGCACTACCCTGGGCCCGCCCAAGCTGTCCCCAAACGTTATAAATCAACGCTCCGTACTCATTGAGAAGGTGCATCAAAATCTCCTCCCCTTACTTATAGTATCTGTAAGACAGTAATTTAAGATTTTAACATTTCACCATTTTGATTTAGTCTAGTTTATCGGAATTCCATTACAAATCTCAAAAAAAAAAAATACATTATGTAATGTTAAAGTTATTGTCGACTTTATAAAGCTCAAAAATTCTAAAAATTTTTCACCATTACACCGATGACCTATAGTTGGTATGATCAACTTCATTTAAATTTTTATCTTCCTCTATTTGCAAATATCAAATACACTTGTGTACAAACTAACATGTTAAATGAAGGAAAATATAAAATATTCCATGATGAAAAAAAATTTGTTCAATTTCCGCATTCAAACACCACAAAATGAAAGAAAAAAAAAATTACAATTTCTAACGGCTTTAAAGTTGCTTTTATGTTAATTTTGGTTTTTTTGTTTTTTTTTTTTTGGTTTTATTTTAAAAACTAAAAAATCGTGACAAAATCTTTTAACAAAATTTTAAAATTTTCCTTTACAAAAAGTAGGGACAAAATAGTAAATTATAATGCTATTGAGGCAAAATGTCAAAGAATTTAAAAAAAAAAGAAACTTTTAAGGACTTTTGGAGAGTCAACGTTAAAATTATAGTGTAAATTTGTTTGTTGTTGGGTAATTGGACATTAAGCCGCCTATAATTATTGCATATAGTTAGGCTATTAAGTAAACATTTGCTTTCATTATTTTATTTTTACGCTAAAAATTTATTGGTTTTCTTTATTTGCAAGTTATTTTTAGGAGTTCAATGATTATTACTTTTAATATTAGGAAATTTAATATAGTTGTGTAGATTATATAAATAATATATTTATGTTTGTGTGGGAAATTTTTAAAATAACTTTCGCATTTATGTAAAAATAAAAATATTTTCGGACATTTACTAAAGAAAAAATTGGAATCATGTTAGAACTCAATTATGTTAGAAATAAGGAATTAGCAAATGAAGTGCACTGCAGTAATATTGAATTTTTTTTTTGTCAAATATTTCTAAAGAAACTTTTTAAACCATAACCATAATAATTTGACCATAATTTTTTTTTGGAGAAATTAGAAAGAAATATTAAAAAAACATTCGTCCACTGTTACTCCACGGATTTAATGTTATTTTTTTAATATTACATTTTATCATGGAACTTGATATAATATGTATATTTAGTTCTTTGACAAGCTTACTTTTGGTTATTAAAAATACTAATAAACAGTTTTTTCATAAAATTTAGATTTGCAAAGGAATTTGTAATTGTACTTTAAGAAATTATTTTCATATATAGAAAAGCTCTGTACTAGAGGGAATTATGACTCTATACTAGACACTTCTACTACTACGCGTTCCTGCGATTTCAAAAGAAAAGAGATGGCATTTTTTTTTATTTATTTATTCTATAGTACTTTCGCACCCCCTTGTAACAATTATTCTAGTGGTTTAATATTGGTTATTGTAAATTTGTGAATAGAAGTACTTAACAGGTTTTTTATTTCATTCGTTTTTCGGAATGTGGAACATCACAAAGCTAATTCAAAAATTTTACGGACCGAAAATTATAGATCTTGCTGAATTTTCCCAATACTTCTATATCACACTTGTCCACTACTAATTATAGTAGTTTAGTTACAGGATCCTGTTGAAGGTATCGAAAAATCTTTGTTTTTGGTATAATTTTGGAACAAATACGTTTTTCATAATTTCTTTTTTTTTTAATTTTGATAACGATTGGTTGATACATCTCAATATAGAGAAATCAATTGCCTATAAAACAAGCTCTTGATGGTTACTCTATGTTGCATGGTTTCGAAGCTATAAACATTTATTTAGATCTTTTTTTTCAAAAGCTAGAAAGCGAGTACATCCGCCCACCCTTTCAATTTTTTACTTGAAATTGATCAAAGAATCATCTCTGAAATTATTTACCACTTTATGTGAAATACCCTGTATATGTAAAACTTTTTATGATTCAACTGAAATATTTTGTTATTTATTTAATCAATTTAAGATTTTAAAAGTCAATTTATTTTCCATTTATTGCTTTATTATAATTTTAAAATAATTTATTGTGCGTATGGTAAGGATCAATATTTTACGTATATTTAGTTTAGCGATTTTTCTTAAAATCACAAATTTTAAAAAACAAACCTAAAAAAATTAAATCTTTTTTAAAAAATTAAAGTTTTAGAAAGTTTAATGAAAAGCGCAAAAACTTTTTTAAATTCTTAAACGTGCTTGTGATATGGAAAATTTTTAAAACATTTTGAAAATTCGATGTTTTCTTTTAAAAATTCTAAGTAAGAGAAAAAATAACATAAAAACGGTAGATATCTAATAAGAGTAAATAATTTTAAAAATTTTACTAAATTGAAAATAATATTATTGTTTTTAGTAAAATTCAAGGTTTTCTGCTTAAAATCCTGCCACGCACACACACTTGCATTCAGAAAATAATTTTGAACATTAAAATTTATAATAAGACTTTGTTTGTATTGTAAAAATGGAACGAAAACAACAAAATTCAAATGAAAAAAAAAACAAAAAAAATAAAAGTGTTACAAATGTTTTTTCTAAAAACAACTAAAATGTTCTCAAATTTTCATAATGGTTTTTAATTCAAGTGTTATCATTTACACAAATACAATTTTTTATGTATACCGGATTTTCCGTGTAGAAAAGGAACCTAGACTTGTGCGAGGAACTTGTAGAAATGTGTGCCAAAGTTGCTTTATCTTAAATAAATTGGAATTAAACAAAATGGTAAAAAAGGAGTACTCTTTTTTCAATTCATGTGAAAAAAATTATGTATGTTATGTTACATGTAATGTTGCATATTATGTTACTTGTAATGTTACATGTTAATATACCTGTACGA